AGGTTCTTTATTTCTAAATTTGAAACTAACTTCCAAATTAGGAAATCAAATTTTTAAAATAGGAAACTTTCCATTTTAGGAAACTTCCTAATTAAGGAAAATTTCCATTTTGTAAACCCTTTCCAAAACAGAAAAGTTTTATACTTGGAAAAGTTTATCAATATCTTAGCTTCTCATTTATGATGTGAATACTTAAACTTATGTGTATGACTCAATAGGCTCTTAGATATGTTGGCAATGTATCAAGAGCAAAAGACTACTCTCTTAGCGGACATTTATCGAAGTGTAATGTGATAACTCATTTAGCATACAAGGAATGACATGTCATATCTTAGTCATACACCTACCTTTATGGGATTCCTAGTACACCCAATGAATCATCCACGTGCAACACATTAATGGATCTATCAAAACGAGTGTCAAAGTGCATAAGTCCTCCAATGAGACAACTATGATGACTTCAAGTCTAAGGACCATTTATGAGTAGGGGAGGATGTAATACCTAAGACTTTAAACCATCCAATGCATTTACGTGTATATTTATTTTATTAAGTATGTGTGTACATTTCTATGCATGTGTGTGTATTCATTTTGTTAAAGTATATGTATGTTATGCCTTGTGTTGCATTGATGAATGTTTGGTATTGTAAGATCATGTTGCTTAGTGTTGTGAGTGTGTGAGTGATTAGGGAATTTAAGTGTGACAATTAAAAGATTGAGGACTTAAGTGAGTTAAGTGGCAAAGTAAATTGAATAGTTTGTTAAGTTACTCACACTTGATGGACCTAAAAATATAACTCGATTAAATGTCTCATACATGTGTTAAACTAACAATAAAGTATAATTAGTGTCCTATACATGTGTTACTCTTAAAAAAAAACTATTGATTAAGTGTCTCATACAAGTAACCACCTAGAAAAATCTAGAAAATTATCCAAGCTTACGTATCTCATACATGAGTTAATCTAAAAATAAAGCTTGGTTAGTGACATATACGAGTGTTAATCTAGAAAAATCTCTTAATTAACTCGTTACATACAAGTGTCCACCTAAAGAAAATATCTTAGCTTAAGTGTCCATACATTGTACACTTGCATTAATCTAGGAAAAATATCTTGATTAGGTGTTTAATATAGAAAACTCTTAGGCAGTCCAAGTAAAGGAATAGACAAAAGTTGTAAAGAATCCACTCTAAATTTTTATTCAAATAATCATCAAGAACTTCCTGAAAGTAGCATAAAATTATTCTTAAATACTCACATATAGAAGCCCTAAAAGAGTCGACTAGGTTAGATTTCTCTTCCTTGGCCAATTCTTACTCCTTTCCTAACTAGGACTCATTTTCTCTCTTGACTTGGACTTGGACTTAGACTTATGTCTTCCATATTTAATTAAGACTTTATCAATCTAAACTAATATGGATCCACATTACATGGACTCAAAATAAATAAATAAAATTCCGAATCCATAACAGAAAAGATTATCCATCCACTTATGTAACATTTGGCCTTATTCTCTCTCGACAAGAAAATCCAAGCAACCATACGAACTAATTTTTTTAGCCCAAGTCTTTACAAATAAAATTAACCTAACTAATTAAAATACAATCCTAATCATTAAAATATAATCCATAAAAATAAAAGACCATAAAAATAAAAACAGAGGGCTAAAAATTTTGGACACTTGAGAGTGCTAAACTTTTGGCCGAGTGGGAGGGTGAATGCTCCCATATCGAGTGCACCCAAGGATCGAAAATGTATTTCAATATCATGAAAAATATATTTCTTTGAATTCATGCATGATTACACTTACCGAGCTTTAGGTCATAATTTATCTTATGGTGTGCAAGTCAATTAAATGTTATATAAAAACATGTTATGACATTGAGGATGCTGCTAGGAGTGAGGTGAGTTTGCCAAAATTTGTACTAGATGTTTAGGTTTAAAGTTTAAAGGCTAAACAATACATATGTTTCTCAAGTTTGGTCACTTTTGATTTGTAAACTCATGTTACATTTAGATATGTTAATGTATAAACATGTATTGAGATTAATAAAATGGTTTTATGCTTCATGAAACTTGTGTTGTTCTTAATTGTGTTTAAATTGAGGATGCCTCACACTTTAAATCTAAATACTTGCACTTTCCATTGCATGATGTAGAGGAAATAGAGTTTTTCCTCACATTCATCGAAATACGAGTGTCCGGCATTGTTATAGCACCTTAGGCTCCCTTTAAGTCGGCCTTAGTGTCTTGCATCCTATATATGTGAGGCATTATTGCTAACAATCTTAGTCTCTACCAAGGGTGCTACCAAAAATCCATATATTAATATAAAATTTATAATTTAAATATTTTTTTTAATACAACTAAAACTAAAAAGAAAACAACATAATAAAATAACAAAAAAATTAAGAGAAACAAACCAAATTGTCACTAAAGAGTGATAAAAATGCCCTTGGAATGCTACTGGAAAGTGGCAAAAATATCCCTATTTTAAAAAATGATATAATTGTCCTTGGTATAAAAAATGAGAGAATTCCAATTGCTCATTGCTAAAGGTCATTGTCGTCCATCTAGTCACCAATCGATGCGTTGACTACTCTACTATGTAGGGACACTAGTACAGAGTAGTTGGTTCTAGAGGTGACCTACCACCTCTGCTTGAGGGAGGAGATTGGCAACCGATAAGTTTTGATCGATCTTCCTTCTTCTTTAGTCAATTTTGACCCAAACATTCCTATGTATTTATGTGTTTATTTGTTAAGAATGTGCATGTTATACTTTGAGTTTGTTTTAATGAATATTTGGCTTTGCAACTTTATGTTACCAAGAGTTGTGAGAGTGTGGGTAATTAAGGGTCTTAAATGTGATATTAAAAGATTGATGGCTTAAATGAGTTAAGTGACAAAGTAAAATGACTAATTTTTTAAGTCATTTAAACTTGAGGAACCTAGAAACATAACTTGACTAAGTTGTCTCATACACATATTAACCTAAAAACAAAGCCCGATTAGTATCCAATACAGGTGTTAATTTAGGTTAATCTAGAAACATCTCTTGATTAGGTGTTCCATACAAATGTTCACCTAAAGAAAATTTCTAATGTTAAGTGTCCATACATGTATACACCTTAACATTTCTTAGATTGATCTAGATTTTGGCCAAGAGAGAAAAAAAGGGAAAGAATTGTTAGCTTCCATAGATCCTTCAAGAATTAGCTAAGAGGGAAAATAAGAGGGAGAGTGCTAGGTTATTTTTTATAATTTAACCTTAAACGTAGAAGCAACAAGAGAGAAAACAAGAGAGGAAACCAAAATTACCAAGGAAAACAAGTCTTGGTCGAGAGACGGAGAGAGTTTGGTCAAAATGAAAAGAGAGAGAGAGAGAGAGGTTGGTCAAAAGGAAGGAAATTAGGCAAACTTGTGGTTGAGAGTGAAAAAAGAGAGAAAAGTGAAATCTTTGAGAAATTTTAGGGTGCTTTCAATAATAGCTAAACTCTAATATAAGTGTGATCTCAACTCATCACAAGACATAAAGATAGGACTTTGAGTTGATGGCTTTGTGTTTATGTGTTTATTTGATTATTGATCACTTATGAAGATATGTTTACTTGTTATTGTCTATTTACTTGACAATTGTTAAGTGTAATCACACCTCACTACAAGATGTAGATGTATGGGGTCGTTATATTATGTGCTTAATTGATGATTTAATATTTATGATTATGTCTTTATTTGATGATTGGTAAGTATAATCTAATTCCACCTCACCACAAGACCTAGATGTCATAAATTTGATGTGTTTGTGTGTTGATTTGATGATTGATCACTTGATGATTGTTATGTTTATATGTTTATTTTATCATTGTAATTATATGTTTACATGATGTTTTATATCTAAATTTTATGTGTAATCCTAACTTTTAACAGGTCATAAATGATTGAATACTTGTGAGTATTACTTGATGGGTTTGGATTTGCGTAGCTTAGTTGATATTACTTATGTGTTCATATGTCTAATTGATGATTGAACACTTATGATGTTACTTGATGATTTAGTTTTACATATTTATTTGAAGTTACTTGGTTATATGTTCATGTATTTTTGAGGTTTGCATTTAGATTGCATCTACATCAAGAAAATATTTTTATCATGTTTTATGCATTTAAGAAAAAAAGGACATGTGCATGTTTTTCAAAGAAAAGAGGTATTGGTAAGGGAATTCATAATGACTCTATTAATACCATATGGCTTATAAAATATATTAGTAGAGGAACCGGTAATAGCCTTACTAACATGTATTGATGGGGAAATTGGTAATGGTCCTACTAATACCATATGCTCTTTATAAATGATGTTAATAAGGGAATTGCTAATGGTTTTTCTAACATGTATTGGTGGGGGAATTGATAATGGCCCTACTAATACCACATGAACTTTATAAAGAATTTTAGTTGGGGAATTGGTAATGGTGATGACTTTATTAATACTAGATAGTTTTCACATGATTTTTTATAAATGATAGTTTTGAATAAGGGTTAAATCTATACATTAGTAAGGTACCCCCAAAAGATAGCATGAGTAAAAAACTAGTTACAAGCTAATCCATCTTGTTCAAATAGGTTGGCTTACTATACCTAGCTAAGCGAGTTGTTATGCAACTACTCTCGCTTTGTAGAAAAATAAAATCGATCTAGTTATTTTCTTCAACATGAATATGATTTTATGAGAATGTTGTGGTAGGCTTGTTTGTTATCTTAGATGGTTTTTTCTTCATGAACATCTTTTTATTTTGAGTACTTAACCTAGAGGTGTGCCAACATTTAGCGTTTCTTATGTAATATACCTTTTGATATGCTTTTTAAATTGCTCACTTTCTATAATTGATTATGTTCCATCTCATGATTTTTTGCAATTTTTTTTTTTTTACAAATCTTGGTTGAAATCATGGCCACTAGATTATTTTTTTTATATAAATGTTTGGTTATGAAAGACTAGTTCAAATGCATGCTTATCGGGTGTGGATAGCCCCAAACAATGGTCAATCAACTAGCTTCAACTATCTTCTCATAGATGATGAGGTAATCCCAAACACATATGGTTTTTTATCTTATCAACGCATATAAGCTCGTTTATGAGTATGCCGAGTACCTTTTTTTTTTGGTCTAGGTTATTGTTGGGAAGACTCGTCAAAACAGTCTAAACTAGCTAATGTCCATTACGTCACAGACTTGTATCTCCTTAATTTAATGTTTGTCCATCTCGCTTATGTTGTATTATGATTGTTGTTGCTTCTTTTTCTTTTTAATTGAATGCAATTCAAGCTTTAACAAAGGCCAAAAATGTTCTTTATTTTTTGTTTAAATAAAGGAAGATGGAATCTATAAGCTTAAGAACTTTAATAGGTATGAAAACAAATTTTACAACGCTATAGTTTCTTCAAAATCAGTTGGACAGCGTAAAAGCAATGGTAGGAAAGAACCGAGTCAAGTTCATGCATCAATACCACTTAAAGGATGGTCTAAACAAATGGTGAAGAAGAGCGATAGGGAACATTTAGAGTCCAAGCTTTACCTAGCTAAGACTTTAATAAGGTTGTTATTGATCTGAAATGAGACATTATGATTCAACCCTTTCAAACCTACAAGCTTCCAAGCTCAAGATATATGTTTTTCTTTATCCACTTCTACACCCTTTTAACCAAAGGTTGAAGATAAAAAAGCTGTTATAGGTAAGCCAATTAAACATGTTTTTGCTTATTTATTAAAATTTTTTGGATACACTAACTCTTTTTGAACACCTCATTATATGTTTTTTATTTCAAAAAAGATATGCTTGATCAAATAAAGGCTATACAACCTCTCCAAACAATGACCGCTTATGGCTCTTGCCTAGAGTATAAGATAGAGATCATCATTGGTAAAATTAGATTGCTTTTTCCCAAACATATATGCTTTGTTTTTTTGTAATCTAATAATCTAATTTCTCTTTTTTCATGATAGTTTTCCTTTGTTCATGAAGGAATGAAGAGTTGCATATCATTCTTTAGTGCGATGTTACAAACCATTTCCATAAAGAGATTGCAAGCATATTACAACAATATGTTATAGTTGTTTCGCGAGTCTTAAGAATGGAGTATTTTTATGTAAACCATTTTCTCCTTGTTCATAATATATCAATAGCATTTTGACCCACTACTCATGACCTTGATTTTTCTATTCTTTGTATGCACAATCTTTCTATAGGCAAGCATGTTCGGAATGGAAGAAAATCTTTGTATGGTGCTTCAATCTTGACATTTTTAAGATACACTTCTATAAATATCGGTGTGCTACTCTATCCTTTTCATCAGCTTGTTTGTACTCCTATTCATTAATGATATCAAAGGCTTTTTATACAATATTCTTGCAATTTTGGATCTATTCCATTACGGATGCAATAGCTATCCATGTAAGTGAAACTAGAACCAATATCAAATAGAAAAAAATAAATAATAAATAAATAAATAAATATACTCATATATCCTTCTATAATACTCAAAGTCTCTCATCTCTCATCAAATTTTCAATTGCATCCTATCTATCCCTAAAAAAATTTGAAATGTTCAATCTATACTTTCGATTATAAAAAAAATTTGACCAAAAATGCCCTTTACTAAAATGAAAAAAAAAAAAACACTTAAAGTGACATGACCTACATGTTTCTTTTTAAAAATTTTTAGAATTTTTTTTCTTTTTTCCTTTTTGGCTTTTCAATTAGAGAAATTTGGGTCAAAAAAAATTATTTGGTCAAAAAATTGATTGTATCAATATATTAAACATTTTAAATACTTTCATGGACAAATAGGATGCAATTAAAAATGAAGGGACATATAAGAGATTTTATGTATTATATAAGGACAGATGTGTACATTTATTGTAGAAAAATAAAAATAAAAAGAGCATGGAAAGAGTTCCTTTGCATGAATACTCACAATTATAAGGTTTGCAGCCCATTCATTGTTTTTTTTTTTTTTTTTTAACTAGCTTCCTTTCATAATTTCCATTGTTCTCAAAGAAAAAGAAAGGACAACTTTTTTCTTGACAAAGTAACATGATCACAACATATATGTGCAAGTTCATTTCATTTATTTTTTTGAACCTTAGAGTCGATCAAATATGAAACACGAGTATACATATTTAAGGTATGACTTTGTGGGTTGTGCATATCATTGCATTGGCTATAGAAATCAATGCACACAACTATCTTTCCACCATCCTTGCATACTAAGACATTTCACTAATTGATCACATGTTCTTAGCTTGGATCGTCATTTTATATCACCGAATGGTCGAACCTCATTTTCATATTCGAACAATGACTATTCTTACTATAATGAGTCTGCTAACAATTTCAAAGTTTGACACTTATTTAGTCTTTTTTAGTCTCATTAATTAGTGGCTATTAACTTATGCTCATAGATTTTCTAAAAAGTAAAAGCATTGTAAAAAAAATTGATTTTAATTTCGGATATTCCATTATAGGAGTTGATTTGATAAAGTCGATTGTTGTTCGGTCCAATTGTTATATCCCATGTTTAGACGCGGTGTTTATTTGCTTTCTTTATGTATTTATTTTTGAAGAATAATTGCAAGGACATAGATTCACCGTAGTTTTTTTATAACGGACATTGACCTTTATTAGAAATGACGGTATAAAGACTCGCTCCAAGTGCAATAAGTCGCTTTGTCAAGAAGGCTCGTGCATAAGATGCTAGAAACATTATATTAATAACGCTCATATCTCATGGTACGTTTTTCTCTTTACCTTCATTCGAGGCTTCGCTTATTCATTTAAATCAATTTGTTTGTTTTATGATAGTTCATGTTGATGGCATCCATCCCTTGTGCAATTATAATTGAGCTTCTAATATTTTTCCTCTTCTATTTTTCCTCTTTTTTTTTTTTTTACTCCATAAATGCATGTCTAGTTTTTAGCATTGTTTCTTCTTCCCTACCATTCATGTTTATCAAATCTTTGTAGATTCATGTCATTGTTAAGTTGCATGGTGCTATAAATCATACCTTCTTCTCCCCTAGCTCTATTATATCTAGGTTCAAAGTGGATTATATAGTAACCGATGCAAAAGATGTGACCAACATTATGATGATCAAAAAATAGATAGAAAACTTCTTTGGATCTTGCCTCTTCACATCGTTATGTCTTGGAAAAGGGATTCAATGATCCTTATAAGATTCCCTCACTAATGATAGAAACATTGATGAAGCATCAAGTTTTTCAAATTCATTTCAAAATCTCAAGATTAATGAACGAGCATGTGTAATATATTGGTGAATATTTTTTTTTATGATGTTTGTAATAATGCAATAGATGAGACGCCACTAATAAAAGGGGTTGTTGATGAACTTCGGTGTTTTGATCTAACGTTATTAATTCTCTTCAATTCAATCTATTAGGACAACAATTGATCGACAAACTCCGGGCACTAATGGATTTAGCCATCCATTAACTATCACCGAACCAAGAAAGTATCCAACCACTACAACTATTCGACTTGATGCAAAGCACAAGTTGGATTTCTCATTGAAACTCTCTCAACATGATACCTCAAGGTTTAGCTTAGAAAACATTGTTTGCTATCAAATTGCTTTTATAAACATTTTCCTACAAAACAAGTAGTCATGTTGAAGAAAAGAGTTGAAGTCTTTCCATAACTAGCTAATAAACAATTACATTTTCATTTCTTTTATATTTATCAACATATTAAAACAAGATTTATTGTACCATAAAAATAGAAACTGTACACTTTTTAATTATTCTAACATGTTCTTTCAAAAGTGGATTGAAAATACATGAACCAAGTTTTTAGTAACCATTTTAGCACATGAGGCATTTTTTATCAAAAATTATAAGTTCACATGATGTGGCATGACATGTAAGATGCCACTATGGATAACAATTCACATAGGATGACATATGGCTAAAAAATAAAATTTCTAATTGAATGGATGACAAATCATCACCCACTAATGCAAAACAAATTTCAAAAACTAATTCCCACAATATAAACTTAAATCAATTCATAAAAAGTCAAATCTCTAATCTTATTCTCTTTTATGCCTAATGAACAAGTATAAATCTCTAATCTTCTTTTCTTTCTCAACTATTGAAAATCATCTCAACCTTGAAATTGTATGTCGGGCAACGAAGAGAAGAAGAAACTATTGGAATGACGGTTGTTCAACTTTATCGAGCCACGACTTCTCTACATGATGCACTCTTCCCTTTTGGCTTTTGCCACATTGTCTCCCACATACTTTTTGACCTTGTACCAAAGCCACGACTTCTTTCCATGATTATCGAGATTGTTATTGCTATGGGGTCCATAAGCATGGCTACTTGACAATTCTTTGACTTTAAGGGTGACCCTAACTCTATTGAATTTGTACATGAGAAGAAATTTGGTGAAATGGGTGAGTGCTCTACAATGTGGGGAGGATTGCTAGCTGGTGCTATAGATGATGGGATGTAGAGATTGAGGATACATAGAAGAGTAGTTAGGGTATTTTATCAAGTCGTGGATGACATCTTGGAAGCAAAAAACAATGAAGAGCAAGGTAGATGAGGAGAAGAAGAAAAAGAAAGAGAATTAAGAGTTATATTGCTATATATGGGGTTAAGAAGGTTAATTGCGGACAGTTAAGTGTTTTAAGTTCCTTTGTATAATTCAGAAAATTAATTCAATTATTGCAAAGTTAATTTGTAGATGATGAGTTCATTGACTAGCCATAAATGAAATAAGGGCTTCCTTTCTATTTGTTTTCAACTTTCATTGATAGGTTTATATTATGGCAACATGAAGATAAACTAATTATGACTAGACTATAGAGGATTTACTAGTTGGATGTATTTGGAATCAATTTTGCATTAGTAAGTGACATGTCATCCATTCAATTAAAAATTTTAATTTTTTGTCACGTGTCATCCTATGTCACTACTAGAATAATTAAAAATAGCGATTTTTTTTTTTTTTTTTTGCAAGAGTCTCAAAAATCATAACAAAAAAGTAATTTTTGTGACGGTTTTAATAGAACCATAGCAAATCAAGATTTGAAAAAAGATTAGCCATGGTTTAGTTGAATCGTCACTAAACCATTTTTTAATTTAAAAATTAGCGATGGTTTAACTAAATTGTAGCTAATTTCAAAATTAAAAGGGAATTTAGTGATAGTTTCGTTAAATCATTGCTAAATTCCCTTTCCATATGACAAGGATTAGTGATGGTCCATCCAAACCTTGCTAAATCCTCTAAAAAAATTTCTTAGTTGTTTGTGATGGTTTTTTGGGAAAAAAAAACCATTGCAAATAGAGAGAACTTAGCAATGGTTTAGTAAAAGCATTGCTAAGTTTGGACCATCCCCCCCCAACTAGCATATATTGAATAACACTTGTCATATTTTTGGCATTATGCAACGATTTTTTAGCAATCGTTCAAAATCTATTGCTAATATAAATCTATTGCAACGTTTTGCAATAGTTCAAAACTATTACGAGTCCATTTTTGTTTTTACATACTAAACTGAGTAAACCACTTGCTTAAACTATTACATATGATTTTAATAAACCACTATATAAAATTATTTTAACCAACAATTGTGAGTCAGTTGCATTTAAAATTTCTAAAGCCCCAAAAAAACTCTTAACTCGGTAAACAACTTAATTTTCTCTCACTCACCCATGAAACACATCCAATCTCTCTCTCTCTCTCTCTCTCTCTCTCTCTCTCTCTCTCTCTCTCTCTCTCTCTCTCTCTCTCTCATATTCAAAACACATTCTTAATTGATTAGTTAAATGTTGGTTTAGATTGAAGTTTTAGCAATTATTAATTAGGGAAAAAATTTGTAGTTTTCTATTTAAGGATAGGCAAAATTGGGCAAAAATTCTATCTTCTTTCGGGTATGCAATTTTCTTTCAATTTCTCTCCCTAGGTCTTTATATTGTATGTGATTTTCTTTTAATTTATCTATTTAGGACTCGGGTATTAGATTTCTCTCCTTACTTATTAACTTTTTGTCGCTTGAACTTGATTTTCAAGTGCTAGTGACTAATTTTATTAAATTTCTCTCTTTCATAAATAGGTTTTCATATATTTTTCAGATTTTCTCTTCGGGTCTACTTAATTTGTGTTGTTTGTTAATGAGATGTTGAAGTTTTATCTAATTATTTCTTTTCTTTCTAATTTATAGGTACGAAATCGGCATTCGATTTAGCTTTTTAAGTAAAAAGATTTGAGGGTTGAAAGCCAAACTTCTATAAGTTTTGCACAATCAAACAAAATTTTATTTTGGATGATTAATTCTATGGATGTTACGTGATTTGATGATTTTCCGACCTTTGTATTGCCTCCGAAATGAGGTTTCTTGGGACAGAGAAATGAGGATGGTGAAGTTGCGGTTGGATTACATATATTTCTATGATAAAGAAAGAAATAACAAAAAACAAATGTTAATGAGCAAGAGAGCTAGGTTGAAAAGATAGTTCTATACTTTCTAAGTGCTAAAACTACAAGCTTTATTCTTTGTTTTATGGGGTTTGAATATGGGTACTACTTGATACAAGAAGCAAGAGGGATATGTCTATATATACTCGAAGGGCTTAGGTCCTACTGCTGGGTTGGGAAGGTAAGTGTCAACATTTTGAAGAGAAAATGTTGTTAAAAAGTACTTGCTGAATTCTTGAGTGTTGGTAAGATAATCATCTAAACTTTCTTAAATTAGATTCATACACCATCATAAAATAAAGAAAAGATTTCATACAAGAATAGGTTGTTGCAAGAAACAATTTTTAAGACACAAAGATCAAAAAGTGTTGCATTGACTTAGTAGAAACAATAGCAAGTGGTAGAAATTCTTCGTATCAAAGTACTATTATTTTTCATGTTTTTGTTCGATATTGTTGATCATCAACCTTGTTAGCATAACTTGCTTAGATTTGAAACTTAGATTTAGGTTTTTGCAAAAATTAATAGTGTATGTCCGAGGTTAATAAATGAGATTCCCTTTTACATCAAGTGGTTTCCTCCGAAGCATTTGTTGAAAATGATGCGGTTGTACAAGCTGGTCATGTTACGCCTTCTAGCCTAAATGTGATGGGTTACTGATTCTGCATTCCGAAATTGATTTTTTTTTTGCTGAGGTGCTTTGGTTGATTGAAACCCTATAATCCCACATTTGTTCTCTGCTTTACATAATTCAATGTATTTGTTGGTGTAGTTGTTAATGCCTTAGTTTGCTCTACCTTCTCTTTGTTGTTCAAAAACATTAAATAAAATTCTACCTTCTTATGATGATTCTACTATGCTAATTTGGATTCACTTAATTTGGCTTTTTTGATGTCTTTCCTCCTAAATGGAAGTAAAGTAAGTCCAATGTAAGTGGCAAAATTTTACCATTCAAATGGCTTGTTCAAAAAAGGAAGCTAAAATTTGTTTAGAGTATTTTCAATAACCTCTCCATAGAACCAAGGTTTAACGAGAGCAGCTATCCAAACCCATCCATCCACTCCAGCACCAATAAAGGCATCCATTTCAAGCAAGCATGTAGATGATAGAACACAAAATTTGGTGGACGTGTGTTTTGAGACTATTTGCTTGACAAACCATTAGGTTTACAAACTAAGCTAGTCAATGTATAAGACAGCCTTATGACCATTATAGCATTATGAATACCATTACAGCCTTTTTTGAAACTAAATATTCAAACAATATATCCTCGTGATCAATAATCATGAGAAATCAGTTCAAACTATAATAAGCACACTAAGCTTCTACACATCAAGCATACTATAGTTTACTGGCACACTAAGCTTATATGCATCGGTGTATGGCTTGTTACGTTAGAATTTTAGTAATCACAAGTTTCTATGGAGACCAAACTATATGCTTGATCATTACATATTGGCTTATCTGTTTTTTGGGAGTATGTGGTTTCCATTGGATACAATAGCTTTACTGCCTGATTTAGGGGGTTAACATGTCTCCTCTATTTTCTTTCCTAGCCAAATGGAGTTACTTTTCATGTTCGCCATGAATCATGGATGTGAAAGAGGAAGGGGATCTGGGGTAATTGTTGATTTATATTTTCATTCATTCCTGAATGGCTAGCTTTCCTATGGTCATTGGCATAAGCCTTTTTATATGATTGTTCAGCAGATACTCTTTTTGAGAGGATAATGCTTTATCTTCACAGTGGATTTATAGTTGATCTCATCAAATATAGCAAGAGTTTGACTACTTAGAATTTGAATATTTCTTGTGAAGAGTTCACGACCAGTGACAAAATTCACTAAGGATTTTGATTTTATAACAGTGAATGAAAAGTTCAAGAAGGATGAAGTTTGGGGTCACCTTGACAAGAATAATAAATCTCATTCTAAGGATAGAGAAGATGGAAATGTCAGTGGTGAAGATGATTCTCAAACCGAAAATTAGGATGAACCAGCTAAGGTTAGGTTAAGATAAGTCTGAATTCTTGTGTGTTGTGATTACGCTGAATAGAAGTTACTACTCTACTCACACTATTATACTTTGTTCTTGCAGCCTGTTTATAACAAGGATGACTTTTTTTATACCATCTCATGTAATGCACTTGATCAATCAAAAAATGGAAGGACTAGATTTTTAGAGCAAATGAAATTGGACACAAAGGCAAATTGTTCTTGGCTGCTGACCCTTGTGAAAATTTATGAAGTCTCATTTGAAATTTTTGCTTGTTTGATTATGCAGACATAGGATTAAGGACTACTAAGAGAAAACACAGAATTCATAATGTAACTATACAAATTGAGTAGTAGCTTTCAGATTTCTACAACATGACTTTCTTTCTATATTTCCTCATCATTTTTATTTTTGATTCATTTTATGGCAACTAAGTATATCAGAAAAGAGTTGTAGACACTAACAAAAAATAACCAGAAGAATAGTTTAATACCATAGCAGAATCATGTCCTTTTGATTGCCAATCATTGTTTGTACCGAATGGAAAGGGCCATGGGCTCACATATGAACTCCACAAATCTTTTTTTATTTTTTGGGTACGAATTAAAGTTCTATCAAATGGTTAAATCTTTTTTTTATTTTTACATTCCAAAAGCTGATTTGAGCTTAAAGCTGACATTAATTCGTACCCAAAAAATAAAAAGGTTTATTTTAAAATATACACATGAATTAAATTTATTCTCACAAATCTTTTTTATTGATTGGGTCAATAGTACGTATTGCAGTTCTTTTCTTTTAAATATGCACATATGAATTTTTGCTTGTTTGATTATGCAGACATTTGGTGACTTTTCAACATGTGGGGAGGACGAGGTGGTCGTGGTCCTCCATTGAAGGGTTAAAGAGATCCATTGAAGAGAAGTTAAATTTTTCCTAAAATTGCAAGTTGCCTAGTGTTATGAACTACTTGAGTTTGGAAATCAACTACTAAATTTGTCTAGTAGGAACTTTGAACTTTTTTTTTTTTCAAATATTGATACTTTGTTGTGCTTTTTAATGTTTTTTTTTAGATATTTGGATTATTATTTTCTTATAATCGGTTATTTAATTTTTACAATTATGTTAAGAAACTACTTAGATAATTACTTTTCTTGTTATTAATTAATATTTCAAATTATTTTTTAAAAATTATTACAAATGCATCATAATCATTTAATCAAATATGTTGTAATTGGAAAAAAAAATCAATAATATTGTAAATTATTGTATTAACTATTTTTATAAACTCGTTGCATTACTATGATAAACCGTTGCATTATAGATAGAAAGGGTTAGTTTTTATATAGAAAAACCGTTGCATTAAAACAACAAAACTACCGCATTACACAATAGAAAAATCATTGCCAATGACTAAAAGCCACTACATAATATATTATATAAACAGTTACATTAGATTATTTAAATTGTTATGTAAAATGCCAATAACCGTTGCATATATTATAAAAATCGCTACATATGTTTTGAATTAAATCGATGCTATATCACTCTTTGAAACACTACCTAAAGTAACAAGGAAACCGTTACAATTGAGGGGTATTATGTAACGAAACATGTTCCATTGCAATTGTATATGGAAACCATTACATTAACCTATTACGAGCATCAGTCGAATGTAGTGGTTAGCAAACCACTCGCATTAGAGGTAATGCGACGGTTTTATATTATTTTATAGCGAGTTTTCAGCCATCGCATAAGGTTTCATAAGTGGTAGTGCAATTTAAAAATTTTCGAGTTAGTGAGGGTAAAACTAAAATCCCTAAAAACATATTCTACTCTTTTTTCTCTAATTTCTCTCCTTCTTCCTCACTTTTCCAAGCAGCTTCAAAATACCCTCTCTCTCCATTGTTTTTCCATAACCAATAGCTTAAACTCTTCCCCTCTCCTCCTCACTTGTCTCTCCTTTTCTCTTTTTTCTTCTTGCCCTCCATCTCTTTCCCTCTCCTCGTTCCTTTTCTTCTTCTTTCTTTCCTATCCCCCTCCACCCTTGAGTCCTCTTCTCCGTGGTAGCACCTCTTCCATGGCAGACAACGGATACTCTTCCTTCTAGCTTGGCAGTGACTCCTCTTAATTTGTGTATAATTTTTTAAAAAAAAAATTGAATAATGTAATGTTTTGTTAATTATTTGTTGCTAATTATTAATTTTTGTTGGTGTTAATTAATTATTAGTTAATTGTTAGTAAGTTTAATTGTTTATTGTTGTTGTTGCTAATTAATTTAATTTATTGTTTAAATAATTTTTAAAGTGTTTGGTTAATAAAATACGTGTTAAATAATTTTGATTTATATAATTTTTAATGAAATTAAGTTTATGTTTTGGTATTTAAAAATTTTAGTTGTTAATTTTTATTAAATCAGTAATTAGTTAGTTAATGTTATTTAGTTTAAATTATTTTGTTAATAAAAAAATTTTTATTTGTTAATTAATTTTATTTTGTGTTTAAATAACTAATTAAGTGTTAGTTTAATGAATTATGTTTGAAATAAATTTCATTTAGTTGTAAATTTTGTATTAGTTAATTCTTATTTAGTTTATTTAATTTTATTTTGTTAATTGTTAATTAGTTAAACTAATTAGTTTAATTTAATTTATTATTATACGTATTTTTTATTTGTTAATTAATGTAATTTTTTGGTTACAAAATTATTTTAAGTGTTATTTTAATAAATTATGTTTTAAATAAATTTCATTTAGTTGTTATTTAAATTAAGTAAAATTTTTGGTATTTAAATAATTTAATTATTCTTAAACAATTGAATATGGGTTAGTTTTATTAATAAATTATTTAATTTTTAAATTAGTGATTTATGTCTTAATAACATTATTTAAAATTATAGAAAAATAAAATATTTAATAGCTTTACAAATTAATAGTGTTAGTCTAAAACCAAGCATAAATGTATGAATTTAAAATTTTTTTAAAAAAAGTAGAAAGATACGATAAAGACAACAAAAAAAAAGGAGTAAAGGGGCTTTTGTAACATTAATCTTTTTAATTGATGATAATTTTTTTTTTTTTAAATACCAAGTTAAGAAACTTGAGACGGGGAAATTTTTTAGAATTTAATACTTGTCTTACCTCTAGAGGCAAAGTGAGAGAAGTTAATTAAGGTCTATGTTGTAGCAGCAACGGACTTAGGTATGACAAATATCAAGGTCTTAGACCCATGAAATTGTGTGCTTAACTATATACTTGCATTGGATTATATAAATTTTGGATTCAATTCCTCGACGTGTCTAGTTAATTAGACAACATAAAGTAGCTATAATCAATTAATTATAGCTTAATTTCATGTTAGAAGATCAAAATGATTTGACGTATATCTTTATTCAGACCTTTATAAAACCTTCATCAATATTATGATAATTAATATCACTCGAATACAAGACACAAGTAATTATTGAAACAAAATTAAAAAACCCAATTTGAAACATGTACATATCTTTCCCTTTTTTTAAAAAAAAGAAAAAACTCATTGTATACTTATTCTAACCTTTCACAAACACTTCACTAGCATTAGAGTAATGATTAAAGTTTACATTTTTTGCAACCAAAAATGAAACATAATGTTATACCTACAATTCTGTGTGGACACAAACATGACATGCAGGCCTAAAATCTGTACCTACAATTGTTCAAAAAAGATTTCCCCCCTTATTGATCTCATAGACAAATGATAAGTAAACTACAATTTTGTTGTCTCGTATCAATGACAATAAACAACAATCAATTAATACCACTATTTTTTTTTTCAAAATAACAATTCAAATTGCCATGTTTGATTTATCATTTGAAAGATGTCAAAAATCATTTTAATTCAATAAAATATTTTAAAATTAGTAAGTAATTCATCAATAAGTTGATTGTTGTAGAGGTAAGTAAACTTTTTATAAAACGCATAAAGTGTAGCGATAATGTTTTTTGTCGGAGAGTGTAGTATAACCTATCAACCTTTATATTTTTATAAAAACCAATAAACGTGTTAGTGTAACGGTAAGCACACTCCTTATAAAATGGTCATTCATGAGATTAAGAGTTTGAATTTTAGTATTATAGTTTATTTGTATATGTAGGTTATAATGCCTCGTGGTAGGGCACGTTCCCACATGCAGCGGCCCATGTCATATGATGAGGGTTGTGATTCGGACACTAACGATGGCAATGACCATGGTTGTATGCGTAGTCCTCGCTTTCGTTCCTAGTCGGATGGCTCCCCCATCGACATGCCTCCGTACTACCCTCTCGGTCCCTCATCAACCCGAACAACGTTTGATAAGTCTCAACCTAAGCCACTTTATATTGGACCTTTACATCCCCGCCCATCTTACCCTTCGTCGTCATTAGTTCCCTCAATCTAACAGGACAACCATCATGTTCCCGAACATGGCTTGTCACGGAACGTCCCTCCCAAATCGAATTTTGAACCTATCGGATCTATGGTCGATTCTCGAATTATGATCATTATCATTGGTTGTAAAAAGTATGTTTTATGCATAATTTTATGAAACATATTTTGTATGTATTGTTATAATTGTGCATTCATTTAGGTGTTATTTAGTGTCTAATTTTATTGATTACATCCTTTTGATATTTATATTTTTCTTATCTTTAAGATATTCCACGAGTATGTTGACATATTCGGATGGACGTGGAAGACAATGAGTCTAAGAGTGAAAAACTTCTACTAGCAAGAGTTTAAGGTAGTATCTTATTTAATTAATTTATTACATGAACTCATATTTAAATAAAGAAATATTAATTTTTAATTAAATGTACTAATAAATATTATTAACTTTCTTAAAGAAGTCATTAACGTGAGAGAAGAATATCAAGGAAAACATTAAGAAAGCATGACGTAGTCCGGCACGAAGATGATATTTCGACTTCCTTCTTCATGTTAACAAAAACCATAAGCCAACATATATGTCATAAGAG